GTGATGGCTTAGTTGGTCTCGAAGGTCTCGTAGGTAGTGCGGCATTTGGTCGGATAAGCCCTGATTGGTCCCCACCTTTTTAGGTTCCGAAGAAGGGAAATCGCCTGAACGTCAGCATCGGAATCATTATTAACCTCTTGTGTTGTTGAGCCGAATAAATTCTTAGCAGGACCAAGCGCTAACCGAGGCATTTCTAGATACGCCATGCGCACGAATCCAATTCAGAAATGTAGTAGTGATTGATTGTGGTTGGTCTGCATCATAACGAGAAGCGAGTGGGGAGTCCATGCCCATGCAATGTGTACAAATATGTGATAGCTCGGATGAATTTACCTCAAAATTATTAGATCACGAGAGGGGACGATTTGTTGGCAAAAGGAATACATAAAGAACAGAAATGCGGCTCTAACGGTGGTAAATAGACCAAATAAGCTCAAATGGCTCCTTTGAAAGGCACACCCTACAATCGAATTCGTATGGTTGTCATTGTTTCAAAAATGAGGGTAGCATCATGCAGCGATGTCTGAGTGGTCAAGGAGTTGGATTTGGAATCTAATGGCCATTGCGCGCCCAAGATCGAACCCTGCTCGCTGCGGTAGTTTTGCAAATGTGCTGGTATGTCCCAGAAGCTGGCTAGTGAAGAAATATAGCAAAAACAAGACACCCTTTTTCAAGTTGTGAGGGAGTAAAGAGGCAGAGGACGAGATGAGAGATTTTTGATGCAGAAGCGAGAGAAAAGAGTCGGAGACGAGGGCCCCGATACGAACGAAAGCTTACATGGCCGATGCCGTCAATTCCATGGCGAGATTCAACAAGGGTGATAGGAACATGCTAAAACCGCTTCAACCGCTTCGATTTTCTCTCGTCCGCAGCAGCTGGCGTCTGCTTTCTTCCACACGTTCTGCTCTCGCCTATCCTCTCTACTCCGGGGTCACTCTCTCATTACCTTATCAGAAAAGGGAGCGAGCAGAAGCGGTTCTCCTTTATTCTTTACTGGCGGCCCACTTTCTACGAATACTTTCATTTTCTGCAGATGGTAAGAGGGCTGAGTAGGGGAAGAAACGTCAATCACAAACAGTCGCGTCGGATACATCACGCCCGAAACGGTAGCCCGGCTGGAGCCATTCTCTGGTCTTCCATATATCTGAGTAAGTTAGGTTTTCTGCTTTCAAACACCTTCTAATCTCTATGAGTTTAAGACTTCTGCCTTCCAAAAACTTTGCGGTTCTCGGCTCCAGCAAGACAGAGTCGCTTCGAAATGTTACTTGGCTTTTGAATAGAAGTAGAAGCCATTGAGCGCATCTAAAGACAAAAATTGGTCTCTCAGTGGCGATTTTCTCGTAACTTATCGTATAACTGATTAAGAACTATCCTTCTATTTTATAAAGCGCTAACTTTGTGTGTCGGTTTGTGTATCTGTATGTGTGTGTGTGTGTGTGTGTGTGTGTATGTATGTATGTGTGTCCGTCCGCAAAATGAAGTGAGTGAGAAGGAAGCTCATGGGATAAACAAACCGCTAACAAATCGGGTAGCTTACAGGATTTGAGATATCAATGTTTTGTAGCAGGATAGTTGTGATAACACTCTTAGGGCTATATAAACACCTGCTTAGCACACTTCCGTTCATTCCACATGGTGCTGCAGTGGCAGCTGGAGGGCAGTGGAGAGAGGAAGGGAGGATGAGGAAGGGAAGCGAAAAATCTACCGTCATATCATGATTGTGTCCCTTCTACTGTATGAAACACCATTGTGTTGCATACGCGTCACTTCCAGGAGGTGTTGGTGTCACAGGAGGAAGGGACCATAGCGGAGGATAGAAAGCTTGCGCAGGAAAGGAAGGTCCCGGCGGTTGACGGGGGACTAATCTGGTAATAAATATATACGTTTTCATGGCCGAAAAAGGTATCCTCTCACAGAAATCAGTTTAGAATGCTTCTCAGTGGGTGGAATCCAGAATTTTCCACGTTAATATCACGATTGAAAGTCTTCAACGGCAGTCGTGAATGAAATCAAATCAAATGAAAATGCAATTAGTGAAACCTTAAAAGCAATAAAGTGCGAAGCCAGTTGGCCGATGAAGTTGAGAGATCATTTGAAACTAATCACCAATCTGACTTCTGACAACTAGTGAAGCTAGGGACCCTGAATGTCAACCCAACAGTCTTGCCATATACACCCGATTAGATCATGAACGCCGAGCTTTGGAGGGACCAGAGACGAACTGTTGGCTGAGGAACACTATGTATGATTGCAACGCTGGCAATCAAGTGAGACCAGGGTGCTGGCAGAATCGACAGAAATATTCTCATAATTTTCAATACCAGGGAAAAAATACGGCCTAGATGGGCGCTTACACCACCTTTGCAAAGGGGGTCATGAGAAACCATCAACCCAGCCAGATGGCAAAGGCAATGTTCAAATAAAATTCGTAGAAAATTGGTTCGACTACGAATTTCCAGAACTATCTCAGGAATCCTCTATATATTATAAACAGTAGTTTGGTTGTTTGATTGTCAGCATTCTATGTTTCCTTTGGCTAGAATTGGAGCGCCAAAGTTAGCATAGTAACCCCGAATAAGTGGGAAAGTTATGCCTGAGAGCTGAGCAGGTGAGGGCAGGTTTGGCGAATGCCAGTGAGTTATGTAGTGGGCGTCCGACCTGGAGAGGGGGGCGGCCGTGCGCCAAAATCTCTGCGGAGAAACATCGATTTTCGCGTGGAAGGCTTGAAAGGTGCGGAAATCACAAACATGATTGGTGCTGCCAGTAAATCATCGCCGTCGCATGCCATTCGAATCGATATTCGATTGAAATATCCGTTTTTGCGCAGAGGGTTCGAATTGGGTTGGGGATTTTAGCACTGATTGGGTCCCCAGTGAAGGTGGAAATGTCATCGCGTCGCATGCTATCGATCGATATCGATTGAAAAATTGATTGTTGCGCAGAAAGCTCTGAAAGTTGGGAAGTCACAATATCGGGTAGGTACAAAGTGCACACAGAGAGCGCGCGAAGCTAAACTGGTTCTTATATATTTCAGGTAGGAACTATAAATGGAGAAACTGCGGCACATACCCGTGGTGTATGTCACGGCGATGTATCCGAACAAATAATGAAAAATAACAAAAATGTGCTGTGGAGAACTTATCGCCATCGAAAATCAAAGAAAAGCTCTCGAGCATAGCGGCGGCAATGGGAGAATGTTATCATCCAATGTGTGACTATTTTCAAACTTCAAAATTTCATATGCCGACGAAAATCGAAGAATATTCCCACGTTTTGCAACATTTCAAAGACTTAATGAAATCATACGTGGATGAGGTGATTTCATATGAGAAACGCAGTGCAGCTTCTCTCTCTCACACACAAAAGAATCGCTTCAGAAGAAAGAAATGGGCAGATAGAAAAGGAAGCTTAAACCAACACAATGGATAAAGGGGGGTATTCTCAAGGCTAGCCAATAAATGGAGCTTCTAGTAAATGTTAGCGCTCCACAGTAAGATGGATATAAAACAATGAAAAAAGGCAAGGAATGTTCCCGAAAAGCGAGGAAAAATGTAAAAAAAAGGTATAGAGTAGATGGTAAGGAACAAAGGGGATACGGCAAAAAACAAGATGTAGCTCGTGGAGAGGAAGGAACAACGAGCGAAGCCACTGCCTGAGGTGCAGGTTGAGAGCCACAGCGTCGAAGAAATTTTCAACTCGGAAACAATGTTGTTAAAATACTTACAAAATGGTTGAAATATATAATTTATGCCATAAAGTTACATGGTAGCTGTATCGCCTTTAAGTGCCGAGTTTCGGTAAGCCATTCAATGTGAAATGAGTGGCCTTCGGTAAGACAATCGGCAAGCCTTACCGAGAAATCGGGCATTTACAAGGGTGGTAAGGGAACAAAAAGGAGGAAGAAAATCAGCAGAAGAACTAAGAATGCCTTGTAAAACACTGTGCTTACCCACAAGAAATCCCAGGAACAGAAAAAGGGGCGTGGCGTGCGCAAGAAGTCCACAAACTGTGATGTAAGCCGTCTAGCGTCCATATCAGATAGATGTTGAGCGGAGGCTATAGATACGCTAAGACGGTGTCAGAGTCCGCGATTCGTCGCAGGTTTCGCTGGGTTTCGCGATTTGCGCGACTCACGCGAGAGGTGGAGCACCACAGTCTCTGAAGAGGAGAAACTCGCAGTCACTCAGCGAGCCATGGAGAGGGCCATGTGCGGGGTAACGCTCCGAGACCGCATACCCAATGACACCATCCGCGCTCGTACGATGGTGAAGGACGTCGTCGATGCCATCTATAATTCCAAGCGGAGGTGGGCCGGTCATGTGGCTAGACTTACCGATGATCGCTGGACGAAGAGAGTGACTGACTGGTACCCAAGGGGAAAAACAAGGCCCAGAGGCAGACCCCCACCAGATGGGCAGACCCTCTCGTGAAGATGTACGGCCAGTTGTGGCGCAGAAGAGCCCGAAGCAGAGCGACCTGGAAGATGTGCGACCTGCGTTTCTGGCGTGCCCGGGACGAATAGCGGTCGAGAAGTAAGAAATCTTCTTAGTCGCGCAAATCGCGAAAATCAGCGAAACCTGCGACGGGTCGCGGACTCTGACACCAGCCTAAGCGAATGATAGCAGGACAGACGTAGAAAGTAATGCATTCAAGAGTAGAGGGACTTTCAGTGAAGCTGACAAACAAATCGTCGATGACAAGACACTGAAGACTTCTGGAAAGAGCTTAAGACCGATCACAGTTTAAACAGCAGCAATAATCTAATCCCAAATCCCAAAGGAGATTGGCAAGGATTTTCGGCTGAATTATCACAAAGAATCCCTGCAGTCCGGCT